TGGGGCAATCTCTCTGTTTCTTCAGTTCACAATTAGTATCATGAAGTCTGTTTATTTCAGGAAGAACCCCAGAAATTTCTTTGCTGTTTCAAGGCAGAGGCCATGGATCCTAGGGGTTTATTTGAAATGTAATTAAAATACAGCACATCTTGCTATCATACAATAAATGTAGCTTAAATGTAATTTGTTCACATTTCTACAATAAACTTACTACAACTTTGCCAGGCATCATATTCATTACTTTATGCCTTTAAACATGAGCCAAGTGGAGCTTGTATAAAGGAATTTTAATCTTACTTTTTATTCTAATGTACAAAATTGAATTGGCCAACTCATGTGCACTAAAACTATTTTTAACTAACTGAAATCATCTTTGCTTGGACAATTCTCTGTATACAGGTGCCCCCCCTAATCCCTAAGTGCTATCAATAACTACCTCTGCAAAACCTTCTGTTGAAAACCCAACACAGCTTCATTAGTATGAGCAAGAAAACGACTTGCACTAGATAATTTCACAGCTGGAGCAAGACAGGCATTGGGCATGACAGCATGACCTATACTCTCAAAATTCAAGCCTTGATCTTATCCCCAGATCTTGTGGTAACTTCATAACTCACTGACACTGTCTGGCAGCCATCTAGTTTGTAAGAGAGTAAAGATTTGCAATTCATTCCAGCTGAGATCTTCAAAGAAGCCAACGGGAACAAGCACCCAGCTGTCATTCAAAACTGGGAAGTTTGAAGAAGTTGGCCCCTCTTTCTTCATCAGCAGATGCAAAAGCTTTCTCCTTGGACAAGCTCCATTTCAATCTGCTTGCCACAGAAGCAGAAAAAACTTGATTTTGTAACACAAAGTGTTTAGATAAAAGACATGAAAGTATTGTTAAACAAGGAAAATGAGTCTGCAAGACCTCACTAGGATAATGAAAATCATACAAAGACTTTCTCCTCTTGGTCTCCTTTTCCCTTCCTATTTTTCCACCTCTACAGGAGTCAGTGGGAGTTTTATCCTCATGAGCCCTTTCTGTTCCCATCAATGCTCCTGTCTTCACAATGACTGTCTGTGTCGTCATTTGTGTTTTCATTGTTTACAATGGCAGAATCCTACACTGTTCCTCTCAATTACATTTTAAAAACGAAATGTAAACATGAACACATTGCTGTTATTTTGGGCAAAAAGAAAGCTTCATTGGGTTGTAGGTGGCTAAATGAAAAAGACAGAGAAGAGTAGGGCAAAAAAGAGGAGGGATAGGGAATGAAAAGAACAAAAATGTAAATAAAAAAACCTGGAAAACCTAAACGAGCCATTTTTCATGCTGTGCTGGTTTTGGCTGATGACCAACACAGGTTTGATTCCTCTTGCTCAGTGTGGTAAAAACAAAAAGTATGTGTCACATTACGTGAGGATGTTTTTTTCCAAATTTTTAGCTGTGCCTTGGGAGCTCCTGGAGACACTAATTACTTCCTTTTGCCCTCCTGAAAGGGCTGCAGATCTGGCATTATCACTATATACTTACTTGGAATTTAAGTGAGGCTCCTACAGTGTATGACCCAAGTTTTAAAAATAACAAATCCTTTTTCTAAGTGTTGTTTAGTATGATTTCAAGATAACAAAACTGCTTTATGAAAGGACATCCTTACTGAATAGGCCGAATTGTTAATTTTAATGATTCTGTTTTCCAGCCACAGATGAGTTTACATATTGAATACTGTCCACGCTCAGATAAATTTTAAAAACCACATGCTTTAAACAAAAAACAACCCTGAAATGTTCACAACTGTGGTTTTGACATAGTTGCAAGATACTGCAGGAAGCCAATTCATTGCATAGCCCAGCAGAGGAAAGACCCTCCAAACGCTGGCCAAGGATTTGCTAGAGAAATGTGAGGAAACACAAGACTCTGAACCACATGTTTGGATAATTCCTCTATCCCTCCATTCATGCACTAACCCTGACCCATGTTATTATATGCTTGAGAGCAGCACACTAAAGCAAGCCAAAGGGATCCAGAGGGAGGGATGGAGGGCAGGGAATAACTAAGTGGGATGATATATGTAAGAGCACTTTTAACAGATGGCTGTACGTTAGTCTCTTTACATTGCACACATTTCTGAACATAGCACACAGACTCCTATGTGACAGTGCAGCACTTCATGTGCTCTGGGCACTAGAACACAGTAAATCAGTACAATAATTTAGGCAGACAAATTAACTTGTAGAGAATTGACTGTCACTGGTGGATCAGAGAGCACCAGAACAACATTAGTTATGCTGCAGAGCTACTTACATGGTACAACACTAAGCATGTCTGCAGTAGCAACTTGCACCCTAAAAAAGAGAACTAAAGAAAGCCCCACAGTTTACCCATCTGATGCCTTTGCTTCTCTTTACATCTAGTAATAAGGAAAGAGCATTTTGACAGAAAAAATCTGCACAGCAAGTCACCTTTTAGGATGGTGCAGGCTAGCAATGACCACAAGGATCTCAGGCACATCACAAGGAAAACAGTCTAACAGACAGTGCGAGAAAATTCTCCCACAGAGGACAGAAATTGCCTATTTGGTGTTGGGAGTTTTTGCAGCAAAAGTAAATTCAAAGCCAAGTGGAGAGAAAACAGTATCAGCAAAGCATATTGAATTGCACGTTTATCTTTGCGAATATCAACTTATTTTATTAACTTTTTTTTATTTTTAAAGAGAATAAAACATGCCCTTGGCTGCTGATGAAGGTGAAGGATGTCTCAAATGCATTAAGTGGCCAGAGAATGATGCAAATACCTTAAAATGTAATAAAGTTTTTGGCAGGTATGTTGATCTAATAGAATTTTAATACTTACATTGTTTTGCCATTTTGGAAATCTAATAAGCATTTATTCACCAGACACTGGTGGCTAAGGGTTCTCTGGCTGGCAGTTTGTGTTGTTATTGTAAAATGAGGCTCTGAGCTACTGCTCTCCCAGGACTATACATCTTTACTGCCAACATTTCATGCTATTTGGCCAGACAGCAATTCTTCATTTGCCTTCCTTAAAGCAGTCCTGTCCGGTATTTTTTTGGCAGAAACTAGTCAGTCATTTCTAGTTTGCTGAGGTCTTCTGTCCTTCCTCTCTCCCTAGTCTCACAAGTAAACAACACAAAAAGCTGATTACATGCTCTGTTGCTGTAGCATTCATTACTTTCTGAGCCAAAGCCCTTGCATTTTAAAATATTTGCCATATTGGAATACTAGATTAAGTGAGCTGGAGAATTAAAATCTGCCACCCTTGCCATGGAAAAAATAAAAGGCAGTGAGTGAGTAGGGAGTCCAGGTAATAGCTTCCACTTTGAAAATGCAGACTGTTGAATTTTTACTCATTATTTTTGTCCTCTTTTGTCCTCTTAATATTTTTAAAAGAATATTAATTGTAAACGTTACGCAAAAGTAGGTGCAAAAGTATTCAGGACAGTATTATATTTTTGCGTATCATGGGTACGTTTGACATGGAAACAGAGAACACTTGTATTTTGAAGGAGAGAAAGTATATTTTTGGTAAATTGCTACAATGACAGAGTATGCTTGCACTCTTCACAGTTACTTTGTGTTTATGATAGAGAGTCAGTACAACTCAATCAGGGTCAGCTCTGAAACTTAAACTTCAGTCTAACTAGCTGTACACAGTTGCTTAATGTAGACCAAAGTCTCAGGATTCCTAACATTTTCACAACCACACTAATTTACCATATTTTAATTAGTACAGAGTGTCAACTCAACTCATAGCAGTTGCTTAATATGAACTGTGGCAGGGACACAGTAAGTACGTACAGTACACTACCATAACACAGAACAATAACAACAGACTTCTGCCGTTCCCGTTACAGCTCAAGATTTTGCCGTGCAATGATTTTCATTTAACAGGTAGTCAAAGAGAACTTAGTGTACATAGGTTGTTTCCAGTAACTAAAAATGTTTAATCATTCCCATCATACCAAGACAGGTTTTGTTAATCTCTTCTGGGCTGTTCAGCTTTTCAAACACAACCAATTTTCCCACTTGTGAATTTTTAAAGACTTCATTCTCTAGCAAACTTAACCTCTATGAAAATTAAACCTATTACATGGAAAAAAGGGAACTGAGTTAGGTTCTGATATAGGACAGTTTGACATTGCTGCAGTTAGCTGTGCAATAAACCCTTTTTAGATCAAGTGTTTTTGATGATTACCATGTAGTGACAAAGCAGCCTGTAAATGCCATGAAGTACCATCTATCCAAGGCATAACAAAAATCTTTCATTTGCTTCCAAAGTGCTCTCACTCTTTGCTTCCCTCCTTCTTTCTTTCCTTCTTTCCTTCTTTCTCTCAATCCCTCTTTCTCTTCTTTCCTCCTTTGCTTCTTTCAATAATTTTCCTGGTAGTCTTCTACATGCATGCCAAAACCTTCCAACATTTGTCTCACCTGGCAGCTTAAAGGACATGTCTAGCTATGAAATTCTACTAGCTACTCAGATTTTCTTTCCCCCCTCCCTCTGCCAACAAGTTTTATGATTATTTATCAGACCCACAGTCCTGTCATGGTTGTAGAAGGACCAATATGAAGGACTGGTGCCTCTTTACATATACAATTCACAACAAATAAATAAATAAATATATAACTGTATGCAAACACAAGTATTTTAACACATTCAAAGTAACTGAACCAAGCTGCCTGTAGCATGAATGCTGACAATCTGAAAGATTAATCCAACCTGGTCATTATGTATTTCAACACATATTACAACAGTAAAGCACTGACACACAATGTTATCAAGAATAATGTGTAACTGGATATTTTCCGGAGAGGTCTGCAAGGCAAGGTGAAGGATTCTTCACTTGCTTAACAGTGTCTTTGTACAAGCTAATATTCCATATTATCTTTACAGCACTGACTTTTCAGGCTGTTTGACCTCCACTACACTATACAGCACCACTGCCTAAAAATATTTTGTAGGGAGAATGCAGACGTATTACAGATGGAGATGAAAATACCTGAGAATGCTTGGAGACCCAGTGGCGCAAGACATTTAGGACACGATTCGTGGCCGCTCTGCGTATTATGAACTCTTTGTCGCACATGCGTTCAGAATTGTTAAATCCTGTGTGGAAAAAACACACCTTAAAGTTAATGGAGGTAGCAAAAATTCAAATACAGTATGAATAACTTGAGTAAACTGAAAGCTCAGAGAACATTTATGTGTAATAAAAGGAAAGATGCCTATATAGACTTTCAAATATGACCATTTAGACTGCTGAAATTCTGCAAGAGCAGTAGAATGCAACCCTGCCCATCATAACTAATACAGACACCTCCTTGGGTCAGCATTCAGTTCTAGAATGATGAAGAATATTTGCCTGCATCATTAACACAGGTCTGCCTCCAGTATGGAAGAAAATAACAGTAAAAACCAGAACCAGACCAAAAATGTACAGGGCCTGTAATCAAGCAGATTACAGAAGGAAAGTGAGTATGATTTAGAAAGGGGAAAGAGGTAAATTTCAGAAGTGGTAAGGAAATAGGGGAAGATAGTAGTTTAAACACAGAGGAGAAGAAGGCAAACACAAGAAACGTCCCTTCATAAGAGCAGTATTTCACAGGCTCTACTAGTCAACAGAGACTGTTCAAATAAGCTGTTTGGTTTTTTACCACTGGGGTGACAAGAAAGTGGGAAGGTATACAGAAAACGCATGTACAACCCCAGCTGTCTGAAAACAAAGATTTGCCAACTGCAGCATTTCCCCAAACATCTTGTAAAGACAACATTTTTTTTTTTTAGTCAGCAATGTTTAGTGATAAAGAAATGCTTTTAAAAACAAACAAGAAAGTTTCTTCCTACATTCACACTCTTGCTTCTTTCTCTTCTCATTCTGCTTTAGTTCTATCATAAATACAATCTGTATGACAAAATAATGATTACATTATTTTAATAATAATAAAATTATTACATTAAACCCCTGAATTTTAAAAAAAATTGATAACTCTGAAGATACACTGCAGAAGTTTATGTTTTTCCAACTTTCTGTTTGATTTGACCTTACACCGTACTGCTTTCCATTTCACTCGGTGCAGAGTCCAAGGAAGAACTGGAAACACTCTTCCATATGACCAGTGCTTTACTATTTTTTTTGCATAAAAGCTGTTCTAAAGCCCATGTATTATTATAAATAGCAAAGGCAGATTAAACTTCTATTTATTCTGTGGGAAACCCGTTGGAGCTATTCTTAGAGGCTAGTATTAGTTTTGCTTTATTTTTATTAAAGACAATCCAAAAAATCCAAATTGCTGCTCAATATTTTTGGAAAGGTAAGCAGGAAAAGAAGTTTAACTGCAGTCTTACATCTTTTACTGCAGGTTAGACCCCAAACCCCAAATATATTTTCTACTCTTATGTTTCATGAAGGTTTTTAAACTATGGCATATTACAGTGTCGTTGACACCTAAGATTCATTATCAAAGGAAGTTTCATATTAAAACATCTTCAGGAGTTTCACTGCCCATAAACAGCAAAGTACACAAAATCTCTGAGGCTTTACTCAGTAAAAGGTAACCTAGGCAACATTTTGTGTGTTAATTTTCTATGCCTTTCACAGTTAACCTCTTGCAGAAGCAACTAGACATACACATTATAAACTGTTCAATTAGCCACTTAATTGCAGCAATGAAAGTCACAATGAAAATTATATATTAAAGCAGTGGAGTCTTTATCAAAGTAACATTAAGGAAAAGAAGCTTCATTACGCTGGAAGGAAAACAGAAAGAAACCTACAGAGATAGTTTTCAGTTAGCTGCAAAAAGAATAAAAAGAGCAAGAAAGGAAAAAGGAAAACCTCCAGAGACCACTTCAGGAAACTTTTATGGTCCTCAGAACTTCATCAATTTTTAAGCAGTAATTAGCTTGCTGTGGAGAATAAGCAACATGTTCACTCAGATCCATATTGTCAGTACTTGATGTCTCAAACCTGTAAGTGGAGATCTCCAGTTTTGTAAGAAAAGAACTTAACTGAACATAGATGCACATGTGAATTTAACTCCAAGTGGGTGATTCATTGTACATCTTCAGGTACAAGACTTCAAATAAATACCTAAATCAGCAAAATACATTTTTTTCAAAATAAAACTGGAAATCTATTAACTCCATTCTGACCTTGTTTTTAAAGACCAAACAACTCGCAAAGCCAGCATGTGTTTCCTCCTTTCTTCACACAACATTTATAATTTATTGTTCTTTATAAAAACAAAAAAAAATCCACAAGTCCTCAAGCAACACTCACTGTCCAAGACTTAAATCTGTAGATTGATTTTGAAGAAGATCATGTTTATGACATTTTCTTGTGGAAATGGAATGGAGTGGAATACCCGATGTTCTATGTATCCTGGCTTAGCATCCTTCCATTTGGATATCTGGCTTTACCTCAAGGTTTTCCCTCAGGACTTGTTTTGAGTAACAGTAGACCTCAGGTGGGCTCCAGATTCAGTAGCTTTGACAACAGCTCGGCAGAATTAGGCCTTAAGCCAGAGCCAGTTATGCTGGAGAACAACACATGGAGCCCTTGGACCCTCCTGAGACCACTGAGGATGGTGCAGGACAAAGCTACTGGGACTTGTAGTGTTCAGAAAAAGAAGCCTCTGCCTCTGTTCCTCTTCTACAATCTACTGTGCTATTTCGAAGCAAATGCTTCTGCATAGACATGGCAGGAACATGGAGCAGTTCAGGACAAAGGGACTGATTATACTCCCACTTCAGAAAGTGGTGACAATGTTCTGGGCAATGCTGGAGACTTGCACTACAAGAGAAATGAAGATGAAGAACTGCACCTCATGAAGACAGAGGTGTGCAAGTCATCATTGACCGGTGCAGAGAGATCTGCAGAAGCGAAGCATATGATCTTCTCTAGGCTCTCACCAGAAGACATGGCAAAGTGTGAACTTGTTGAATGGTGTGTCGCACACTGCCGGCCCTTAGCTTTTCCATCCTGAACTGACTTGTAACTGAAGCAGGAGCCAGGAGTGACAGCATGGGGTAGAGATGGCTATCATCCACATCATGAAAATGCCCATCAGGCACAGATTAATTAATTAGTCTCAAAATTAGAAGTTATTTATAACTGCTACTATTCACTAGGTAAGCTTAAGTGGATTTATAGACATGATTTTTTCATTAAGATTATAGACAATAGCCACCATTTTTTTATCTATTCACCTATATATCAGAAGACTATATAAGTGTAAACTTATACATAGATACCAGCAAATCTATTCAAAACTAATGTGTCAGCTCCCATCCAGTTTTTAGCAACAGCTAAAACCCCCAACATTTGAAGTGCTGAATTGTATCATTCCTGATACAAAGAAAATTATGTCATATTATTAACCTAATGAGAAGTTACTGAATATTGAAGGTGAAAGCAAAAGAAATCTCAGTAGTTCTTACAGCCACTGAACAGATCTTTTCATTAACCAAAAGGTGAAAACATGTAAGAGAAAAGGTACTCAAGAACATTCAAATTGCACTGAAGAGTGGTATTAATTCCAGTATCTTACAAAACTCAGAAAAAATAGAAAAAATGTCAGCTGCAAACAAGTAAGATCAGTAAGCATTGTTAATTTCTGGTCTTCTAACTTTGACAGAAGAGGTCTAAACAAAACACTAAAAAAACCCCAATAAAAGCTTATTGCCACAGCTGCATTAATACAGAAGCAGAAACACGTAATACCAAGTCCTTGGCTAGTGTTGGTTTTGCTCCTCCTGACTTTCAAAGCCACATGGACTTTGGGACAGAAACTGCAAAGGGGAGATAATCAGACTAAGATGTGATGAAGCCAACACAGAAGCTATCTCAGCAGGCATCAGTGAACTTTGACGGTGCCATCAGTGTTTCCTGCACTTTTCACAGTGCAAATTACTTCTAATACATAGCTTTACTGCTGCTCCTTACTTCCTCCTCTCTCTTTCTGCCCACCTAATCCTCTCTTAATATAACTCCAAACAAAACCCTGAGCCACCATGACAACTGCAACTATTCCATATGCATAGCCTACTTGTTTATGCATATTTTAAACAACCCAGTATACAAGCTTATCTGGTTCTGCATGTTCTTGTTACCACTTACAGATAACCCATGTCTGCTTCTGTCTACACTGCAAAAGGTAACCTAAATCCTTCAATCCTGTCTAGTTTTGCAACAGGTAACAACGGTGCTAGTCTAGCAGGAACTCTAAGCTACCTCGCCTACTGCAAAAAAACAAGTGACAGGCAGAACCTTGGTGGGCCACACATCACCTGCTCCACCTGTCCATATATAAGTGTGAAACTGGACCTACATATTGTGACTATGCAAAGCATGTAATATGAAATTTTGTCGTGGTTTAACCCCAGTAGGCAGCTAAAGGGTGCTGACCCACACAGCAGAACTGGGAACCGAGGCTTCAGGTCAGATGTTGATCTGCAACAACAGATCACATCTCTAAGGCATATCTCAGAAAGCATCCTACCAAGCAGTTTCCAGTTAACCTTTTAGCATTGCTGCATCTGCTCTTATTCCCCATATACTTCTCCTACCTATTTTGGGGCTAGGAACAGTTTTTAACTCTGATTATACAGTCTCTAGCATAATAACATTCTTGTCCATGACTTGGATTGGAGGCACTTTTAGCCATGTAGGCTATAAATCTAGGTGGGTTGAAAAATTAATAAAATAGCCATATCTGATCAGATAAAATTTCATCTAGCTTGGTATCCAGAAGCAAATGCTTGTGGAAAGAATCTTCAAAAGGGGAAATTTTGAAGCTGTCTTTCCCGTAGTGTGTTATCCTTGGCATTGAGCAGTTTAGGGGCTAACTACACATTACACTTAAATCAGTGGGAAAGCAGGCATGATTTCTTCTAAGTTAATTTTCACTGTGGTTCCAGGAGAGGAGAAAGGTGAAGGGTCCCATCTAGCAGAATGCCAACCTTTGCAACATTTTAATTAGGATTCTGGGTGGAACTGCCCACATCCAGACCCAATGGTGAAATAACCTGAAACACTCACTCCATGGTATATATCTGTTTCTCTCCTGAAGGAAGCAATCTTTCTACATTAGAAATATCAGCAGTAT